TCAAATCGCCAGGGTAATCGGTCCCCACAACGAAGAGGTGGAAGGGCACCTCAAGGGGGTTGGCACCCAGTCTTGCCACATGGCAGGCCCTGGGAAGATTTGGGCTTGGACCAGCGCGTATGGCAGGAACGCGTGGACCGGGGTCAGTGCGTATTCTGTGGTGACCCGGCCCACGTTATCAAATTTTGTCCAAAGTATAGACAGGCCCATTGGGCTGCTCAGCAGTCAAAAGGCAGCCGCCAGTAGGGGTCGCAACTGCCCCTACTTCCAGGCCATGTGGAGAAGTGAGCGCGCGCGAACAGGACACTCCCAACCCACATGAGCCTATGGCAGAGGTTGCAGGCTCGTGCCTAGATAGCTGTCCAGAGACTGCTTGTGTTAGCGTCTCTTTAGGCACGTCCCTCACAGGTGTGGCGGAAGAGTTAAAGGAGAGGATGCCAGCCTGGGCCAAAGTGAAAAGGGAGAGTAAGGGACAACTGATTTTGGTAGATGTAGAGGTGTTTAGAAGTAGAGTAGGGGCCCTTGTAGAGTCAGGGGCTACCCGTAGTTACATTAGCCATAGGGCGCTGAAGAAGCTCAGGCTAGGACTAAAGGTCCAGAAACTAGTAGACCCCATAGTCAGTGTCCTCGCAGACAACCGCACGATGCACGTTGAGGACTATGTAGAGGGAGTCCAGGCATATTTTCGCCTAGAGAAGGATGGGAAGGTGGAGAAAGTTCTCCATTCCCTGACTCTCCTCGTGCAGGATGACCTTCCTTTCGATATAGTGTTAGGAATGGATTGGGGAGAGGCAACAGGGGCCACACTTCATTTGAGAGAGCATGAGTGTAGACTCCCTAGCCCGGCAGGCGAAGTTAAGCCTGCCCGCTTGTTCCATGTGTCGGGTGTAGACAACACCTTGGCACATTGCTGTCTCAGTGCTCCCGGGTTCGCGCGATTAGTCAAAAAGGAGCAGTTAGAAGACCAGGTCTTTGTAGTTTATGTTAGACCTATCACTGAGGCCCAGGAAAAGGATAGCTCCACATATCCAACAATTGCCAAGCTGCTGGAAGAATTCAAAGACTTGACTGAGTCGCCGACAGGAGTAGTGTCGCGACCCATCCAGCACAAGATAGAGATAGAGCCTGGCAGTAGAACTCCTAAGGGTGCAGTCTACAGGATGTCCCCTACAGAGTTAGAGGAGCTTTGCAAGCAGTTAGACAAACTCCTTGTGAAGGGTTGGATTAGGCCCAGTTCGTCTCCTTTTGGGGCGCCAGTTTAGGAGAGCTTCGTATGTGTATAGACTATAGGGGTTTGAACGCGATCACAGTGAAGAATGCTGAGCCGCTGCCCAGGATAGACGATCTTTTAGATCGAGTGCAGGGGTGTACGTATTTCTCTAAGATAGACTTAAAGTCCGGATACCATCAGATAGAAGTCCATTCTGTATGAATGACCTGTTAGATAAATTTGTAGTAGTCTACTTAGATGATATCCTAGTCCTTAGTAAGACCCTCCAGGAGCACCAGGGTCATCTGAGGCAGGTCTTGGAGAAGCTTAGAGAGGCTAACTTCAAGATCAACGCGAAGAAGTGCGAGTGGGCCAAGACGCAAGTCTTATACTTGGGCCACGTGTTGGACGGAGATGGCATTAAGCCAGAGGACAGCAAGATCGCGGCGATCAGAGATTGGCCGACGCCCCGCACATTGACAGAGTTGCGGTCGTTCCTAGGCTTAGCTAACAACTGTAGGAAGTTCGTGAGGAACTTCTCCACTATCGCCGCTCCCTTGCGCCAATTGCTAAAGAAAGAGGCAATCTGGCAATGGGACAAAGACTGTACGTCTGCGCTCAAGAAGCTAAAGCACGCATTAATAGAGTATCCTGTCCTCAAAGTTGCAGATCCGTCTTTGCCATTTGTCGTCACCACGGACGCGAGTGAGTATGGGATAGGCGCCGTGTTGCAGCAAGACGACGACAATGGCTATAGACCCGTAGAGTTCATGTCAGCGAGGATGCCCTGTGAAAAGGTTGCTGCCTCCACGTATGAGAGGGAACTCTACGCTCTCAGGCAAGCTTTAGATCATTGGAAGCACTACCTGCTTGGGAGGCACTTCAAAGTGTATTCGGACCACGAAACGCTTAGATGGTTAAAGACTCAGGCCAAGATGACACCTAAGTTGACTAGGTGGGCCGCATAGATAGACCAATTCGACTTTGAGTTCAAGCCAGTGAAGGACAAGTACAACGTAGTTGCGGATGCTCTGAGTAGGAGATCAGACTACTTTGGAGTTGTAGTACACTATCTAGATATAGGGAGAGACCTGCAGGAGAAAGTGAGGCAAGCATATGCGCAGGACCCTATCTAAAAAGAGTTAGAGAGGCCCTAGAGACTGAACCAGATTACCGCACTACAGACGGGTTGTTGTTTGAGAAGACTAATGTGTTTGACCGCCTGTGCGTTCCCAACAGCGAAGAGATCCGCAGTTTGATATTAGGGGAATGCCACGATACTGAAGGGCATTTCGGTTGGCAAAAGACATTAGCCAACCTGATGCGTGCRTATACCTGGCCAGGAATGAAGAATGACTGCATAGAGTATGTCCGCAGTTGTAAAGTGTGCCAGAGGAATAAGTCTACTACACGCGCGCCCCTAGGTCTTCTCAGACCCTTGCCTATTCCGGATCAKCCGGGAGACTCCGTGTCCATAGACTTCATGGACACCCAAGTCAARAKTAGACATGGTAAGAGCCAAGTCATGGTCGTAGTGGACCGTTTTAGTAAGTATGCAGTTTTTGTTCCTTTGCCTGCAGAGGCACGTACAGATTTAGTAATATAAAAGTTCTTTGACTTTTGGGTTAGTGAGAATGGAATCCCATTGTCAATAGTTAGTGATAGAGATAGTCGCTTCACCAGCCAGAACTGGCAAGAACTCATGAGAGT